ATCGGAAATGTCAAAACACTTGAGATTCATTTTTGTTAAAAATGGGGAAAAAATCTTAATTCGTTGTAAAGTTCAATTAGTAATACAAATGATCCAAGAAGAAGGAAGAAAATAGTGGTTTGCACCACTATTTAATTACAAGTCTCAAATTCAAGTTGAATTGTTCACATACACAAGAGATGAGAGACACATTGAGAATTGTGAGAATTTCTTCTTTGTGAGACTTGAGAGCACGCTATATATTTTCTATCCTTAAGCGTGGTTAACTAACATTTTGTTCTACCCAAAATGATAAATTTAAAATTTTTCGCGATCTAATCTGATTATAATACGAATAAGTAATAAATAATAAGAATAAGGCTCCGTTCCGTTCAACTTATTTTTTCTGATCTGATCTGATTCTAATAAGTTCTGATCTGATCTGGTCTGATCTGATCTGATCTGATCTGATTGGATCTGATCTGATCTGATTGGATCTGATCTGATCTGATTGGATCTGATCTGATCTGATTGGATCTGATCTGGTCTGGTCTGATCTAATTAATTATGATTTAATTTAAAATTTCAAATCAATAATTTAATTTGACTTTATAATAACGTTTGAAAATTGTAATGATAATTCATATTATAATATAATCAATATTTTTTATTTAATGATTATTTTTTAATAAAATAAAAATAGTTAATTCATATATTAGAATAATCATTCATATTATAATGTAATAATATTTTTTATTTTATGATTATTTTTTTGTAAAATTAGAATTATACATTAGAATAAATATTTAATTTAGATATACATTTAAAAGTAATTAAATTTAGATAATCAATATATAGAAGAGATAGTATTTTTATTAAAATATCTCATCCTTATAAAAGATCAAAAGAGAAACTCAAATTACAAGTAGCAATAAAAATATATTTTAAAAGTAGAATTAGATTGACATTGTCAATGTATTTTAAAACTAATTTTTCCGACGTCTAATAATTAAGGATTACTTTCTCAGCTTTTTATTTAACCTATTTCTAAAGTTTATTCTTTTTCATTTTTAAGAACAATAATAACAATAATAATAATAATAATAATAATAATAATAATAATAATGATGATGATGACGACGACGATGATGATGATAATAATAATAATAATAATAATAATAATAATATTAATAATAATAATAATAATAATAATAATTCTTGATGAGATCTTATTTTAATAAGTCCTGATCTGATCTGATAGGATCTGATCTGATCTGATAGGATCTGATCTGATCTGATTGGATCTGATCTGATCTGATTGGATCTGATCTGATCTGATTGGATCTGATCTGATCTGATCTGATTCGATTTGATCTGATCTGATCTGATTCGATCTGATCTGATCTGGTCTGATCTGATCTGATCTGATTTTAATAAGAATAAGAAAAAATAAGAAAAAATAAGTTGAACGGAACGGGGCCTAAGTTGAAGTGAAAAAATTCATAGATGTTGAGTATACTGTTGTCTAAGAGCTAGAGCTCCGAGCACGTTCTTTGAGAATGTTTTGAAAGTGTAATAGTCATGAAGTAAGGTCAAATAGGGTTTGAGTGAGAAACTCTTTATCAATGACATAAGAAGCTTTTAATGTATTAACTAATGTGATCTTCTCCAAAAATTTAGTGGGGATTTATTATAGGACGTGGGCCCCGTCAAAGGAGTACGGTGACACTCTGGTGTATTACATAGTTTTCAACTATACATACATCGGTGGGGTTCTAGTGACAATGGAGTATGGTGACATTCCGGTGTCACTATCATTTTGGAGCACTTTCGGTGCTTCGTTCGTAAAACGGACGGTTCCTATCCTCACTAACCCACCCTCTAAACCCCCCACCCTACCCCCTCCCCTGCACCCCCACCCCAACCCCACCGTAAGACACCACTAAATGCGCGGCTATTTTGCATTGCAAAAGTCCATAAAATGAATGTGTACCTTAAAATTACAGAAGAATTTACTACTAAGATAATACATGCACATTCATTTTTATAGAATATGCTTTAAAAGGAAAAAAACATGTCAAAAAAAGTTTTACTAATATCCCCGTAAACAAATAAATATCACTTTATCCGACTTTTTATTTTAAATAAATAACTAGTCCGGACCAGGGTCAGGTAAAGGTCTTCCATGTTAAGTCCACTCTATAGTCTATACATACAAAATATAATAAACAGATTTGGATTAATTTCAAGTCTAAATCATACCCATTTACTAGCCTGCCTTGTAGTATTATTCCTTTCTTTCAAAAATTTCTTTCTCGGTTTGACTTGACACGAAGATTAAGAAAAATAAAAAAATATAAAGACTTTCCATGTTTATCTTTAATGTGATGGAGTTAAGTAAATTATGTAAATGAAAAGTGAGATGTATAATCACACATATTAAAAGTTTGTTGTCAAAATAGCAAACAAAGAAGAAATTTTTGGACAATAAAGAAATTATCGAGCCACGGATTCTTAAGGGCATCTTTAGATGTTTTGACTAATTTTGGCATATTATTGGCTTTTTAGATGTTTCGACTAATTTTGGCTGTTTTGACTTGTCAAACAGCCAAATAGGGTATTTGGGAAATGGCTGTTGAAGTTGGCTGTTAGAATTCGAAAAGCCAAAATATGAAAAGCTAGAAGTAGCCTTTCGAGCTCGGTGTTGGTTGTTGGAGTATAATTATTAAATAAATAAATAAATATTAAGTAAATAAAAAACAAACAAACAAATGAGTATATAGTAACTACTTTTGCATCCCAAAATGAAATTCACTTAGAAATTACGAGGTAAAATATTTTTTTAAATTATTTTATTAAAAAATTGGTACAAAAAAAAATTACATTTTAAACAATTTTTACAATAATACATCAAAATGGAAGGCAAACACTTATCGTTTTTTAATAGCAAATCTTCGTAAGCAAAAAATATTGACTCTAGTCAAAATATTTTTTTATATAATAAATATAATTTGTTAAATAGTCTATATATATATATATATATATATATATATATATATCAGGCCCGCCCAATCATTATTGATAATACGTAAAGGCCCTGTGCAATTTTTAAATTCTTAGGCTTTATTGCTTTAATATATAAATTAAACAAGAAATTTTTTCATTATCAAGTATTTATTAAAAACAAAGTAAATAATATAATTAGTATCTAAATTCATAAAACTTTATAAGATCACATTATCATTAAAATTATTAAAAAAGTCAAACTTGATGAACACCTATAACATGCATGAACTTGAAGTAAGTATAGTGAGACTTTAATTCCTTCTCTAATTAAATGATAACTAGAATAAGTTACGTTGCTTTATTTATCATGCTTCAAAGTTTACACATTTTTTAGTAGAAAAGAATTTGTATTTAACAATTTTTAGCCTTTAAAAAATCACCACGATGATCACGTACAATGTTTATTTTTCAACAATTTTTCAAGATACTTTTTGATTTTTCTATAATCAAAATGTAAATTTTGTTGTAAAATAACAAAAGAATCATCTATAAAATGGGCCCTCTAGGAAATTGGGCCCTGTGCGGATGCACCTGGTGAACGCCCATATGGGCGCCCCTGATATATATATATATATATATATATATATACACACACACACACACACACACACCCACACACACACACACACATATATATATATATATACATATTACATATATGAATTGTATTATATTATATTGCAGAACATATTATATTTTATAAATTTTTATTCATATAAATTATATTATACTCCCTCCGTCCGCCTAAGATGTTCTCATTTTGACTTTTGGTGGTTTTTAAGGAGAGTTGAAAAAAGATAAAAGTTTACCATAATACCCTTAATGAAAAATGGGTGGAGTGTATTAAATGAGGTGGGTGAGGTGTAATAAATAAAGTAAGTGAGGGTAGTTGTGGTATTTTACTTGTTAAAAAATGAAATGAAAAGATCTATTGTGGACAAAGAAAAAGGGCTATTGGAAAGATCTATGGTGGACAGAGGGAGTATTATATAAATCATATAGAGTAAATTATATAAAAGGTCCCCAGTTATAGGTCGTTTTACATATTTAGTCCCTACATATCAAATATTACTAATTTAGTCCTCAATTATTATATTTATTTCCACTAATGGTCCTTTGTTAACATTTCCGTTAAGAACGTGGATAAAATTGTATATTCATACTTCTCTCTCTCCTCAATTAAGCTTTCTTCATCTTCTCATACTCTTTCCCAAACTCGTCGCTGAGTTTGAAGCTCTTAAACCCAAAATTTAAATGATCGTTCCTCCAGTTAGACAAACAATTGAGAGAAGAGTGATGATTTTGGTTTAGGGTTCAAAGCTAGAAACTCAG